TTCTTAGCCTAAAACAAATCTCCCAGTTTTTTCCCAACCGCTGGTGCTGTTGAAATGCACGGCTCGTTGGCAGAACTCGGCCGTCCATCGGAACCGGATGAGCGCTAGGACGCTTTTTGTTTTTCAAGGTACAGTACTGTGTTTTGGAAGCATTCACCTGTACAAGATTGTTGCGTAACTGAGCAGTGATAGCCTCCAGATCTCTCGACAGAGAGGAGGTCGTCGATTGTCTTCTTTTTTCAGCTCAGCCGCAGAGATCGCCTTGGCGCTCTGAATTCCTGCATGTAGAGTGCTGTCAACAGCAAAGCTGTGGATTGGGTTGATCGTTGAAATGTAAGAGGAACAGTGTCGCGGCTAAGTCCGATCCCTGGGAAACGCCCGTGTTGACGTTGTGGGATGAAGAGTTACGACGGATAACTTGCGGCCGGAGAGAAAGACAGCCACCCATCTTCACAGCTACTCTGAGAGGCCATAGGATGGAAGTTTGCATAAGAGGGCAGCGTGCCACAGCCGGGAACGCTTTCGTGATATCAAGAGCAACGACATGAGCCTAACCTAAAGACTGGATGAGTTTACTCGACAATTGCGTGACGTAAGCTAGGAGGTCCCCTGTGGATCGCTGGTGTCGGAAACCATGCTGTCTGTCGCTAAGCAAGCAGTGACGTTCGAGTTAGTCCAGAAGCTCGCGATTTATGCACCTTTCCATCACCTTACTTATAACAGAAAGCAAGGCTATAGGCCTGTAGTTATAAGGGTTGGTCTTAGATCTTTCTTTGGGATGGGTAAATTTACAGTTTTCTGTGAAGGTGCCGGATTCATAAGATAATTAGAAGAGACGCGATAGAACTGGAGCAAGGTCCGCTGCACATCTCTTCAGTACAATGGCAGGAATCAAGTCCGGACCAGAAGCTTTGCTGATGTCGAGCGCCAAGAGCACCCGTCTTCCGATTTTATGCTTGTTTGTTACTTCACGCATAGTGTAGGGAACCCTTTGAATCGGCGGCACTTCAGCGTTGGGGGAGCCACGGTGGAGTTGGCAGCAAAGATCTTGGCAAGCACCTCCGCCCTAGCCTTTGAGTTGGTTACAATCGTTCTATCCTGACACGTAAGTGGGTGGCAGGCTACTCTGTGAAAAGTTCCTTTCAAACTGATTGGCCATCGTCCAAAAAGACCGACTGCCACTGCGCTGCGACATTACCCTGTGCCTAGATTTTACATCGTGCTGGTCGTTGGTATTGCGACCCGCTTCGTTATATTTGTTTCTGGACTCGACGTCGGCTTGTCTGTTCTCTACAGTGGGGATTTGTTAGAAGGTTCTGTAGGACTGCATCTTCTGCTAGCGCTAGCTGTTATACGATTTGTTGAACCAGCCGTTGGATCCTCATTTAGGCACCTTGACTGTATGCGAGATGTATTCCTCCATCCCAACGGCGACGTGGATAATTTCGGTTCTCGAAGAACATACAGCCGACGTATCTGTGTCAGCGAAACAAACACCTTTCCAGGGAAAGGTAGAGAAGAAGTCTCTCAGCCCCTCCCAATCGGCTTGTCCGTAATGCCAAATTTTGCGTTCTGGGCGAGTTTCTGCACCCATAGCGGGTTCTGACCGAAATCCTAACCTCCACAGCACCGTGAGTTACCCAGGAGGGACAGGACATCAGTGTGGTAACGAACAGGATGCGTGGTCAGAAAGAGATCCAGCGGTCACTGGGATGTGACGAGACGCGGGGGAAAAAAGTAGTTCTCGTCACCAGCTGGGTCAGCCCTTGAGTGAGAGCGAACGCTTTAACTGCACGACCTGCTGCATCGATCTTGTTTGAGCTCAACCAAAGCTCGTTATGGGCATTGAAATCACCGAGGAGAACTACCTCTGAAGTGGGGTGATTGATGTTTAATAAGTCGATCTTGACAGCGAGGTATTCAAGTAGGTCATACCTAGTTATGATCCGAGGGAAAGCGATAAAGGCAGCAAATAAATTTGGAGATGTTTTGGAGTTGAGGCGAAGCCACAGAATGCCATTCCGGTCTGATTCTAAAGAAGTGACTCTGGAGCAGGAAATACTGCTGCGGGCAAAAGCCACAACTCCCCCGTTCTTTCTCAGACTGGGGTGCACCTCGTAATTTGGGAAGCTAAGATGGTTCATCGGTGCAGACTCTGAGATTTTTTCTCCGCCAAGAAAAGCATGGCGGGACTATTGGATTGCAAGTAGTGATCAACAGCATCAATGTTGCTGTTAATCCCACAGATCTTCGTGAAACAAATTTCATCTTCGATGTTGTTTCCTCGAGTCCACCCTTCACCCGTACATTCAGAGAGTGAAGTGAGTTTACGTCCAGAATTCTTAGTATCTGGGGGATCCATCATCATTAATTTCTTTGTTCGGCAAGATAACCGACTGCGTAGCTTATGTGTGGAAACATGGGGACATTTGTTTAAGACGCCCTGGGAAAAGCTAGCGGGTCGTACCGCCTCGGTCGACTGGTCCTTGTCTACCACGTTCTTTTTGCATATTAATGATGTTGAATAGACCTAAGGTGGCCTGTTGGCGGACTTGTACCGCCACCCCGCAATCAGTACTGAGGAATTATTTAACGCGTGTACAATCACTTGAACGGGAAGAACTTGTATACTGAATACGGCCTCGCTTAGTAGGGGATGTAATATATTCTCGTTACGTCGCTACGTAACTACAGGGCACGATGACAATAAATGACTAATGGATTCGACGCACTCGTGGCATATTCTGCATTTGGGATCTGTATCCCCCTTCAGGATTTTCTTTGAGAAGTAGTTGGTCGCTATGGCCTGGTCTTGTGCTGTTCTAATCAAGCTTTCAGTTTCTGTTTCAATTTATTATTTTTACTATTATTATTATCATCGTTATTCTTATTATATTCCGGTAGGAGGGTCTATGATGTCAGTATTGTCATGTCATGTGATTTAGTTTGGTCATTTCTCAATTCTCGGACGTCGGGAACCTAGTTTGAACACTCATAGTGACCATCATTACAGCATGGGTAGCTAATCACAAAAGTGTGCGATTCCGTGCATTTACAACTCTGTACTAAGAGATCTGGGTAGCCCAGTGTGCCAGAGTGTCTAGTTATGGATACATCGGTTAGACGGGCCGCGATCTTGAATACCTCCCTCGGAAATAACACTCCGAGCCATAGATGTGGGGTGATGGTCATGTGGATTGCCTGCCTCGTTTGAGCGCATTTCATATGGATTAAGTTAAGTAAAAATCAGTGTCTATGGCTTTAAGTCAGACTACCCAGGACACCTCAATTCAGCCGGTTAATCGAGTGAAAAGCGCAGAGATGTTGGCAGAGACCAATAAAGATGATGAATGAGTGGTAATCACGGTATAAACATGGTCTTTGGTGTTGCATTAAGGACAAGTTAGAAGCTTAGCTGAGGGAGCAGTTTGAATGGGCTGGTGCTAGGTCAATTTCTTGGAACGGCGTGGTGTTAACGGGCTGAACAGGCCCTGTGGTTGGCTATCCAAGATGTAGATATAGTCACTGCAGTACATACTCAAAAAACACTTGGAATCCTGGCTTCTGGCTTTGCCACTTCATTGGTGAATTATTGTATAACAATTAGATGTTTTCAAAAAACGGAGGGTCACTTAGTTGACTGACGTTTCTTGAAATCGTCATGCGTATTGTCGAAAAAACCTTAGCCATTGATTTATGACCCATGCTTTCCTGACTATGTTGTCAGAAAGTCTCACGCCATATGTTCTGTTCTGAAATTTGTAGATGAGATATTTGCTTACCCACTAACGGGTATAAAATTCAAACATTATAACATCACAGATGTAGATATGATTCCTGTTGATGGTTGTTTGCTTACGTAAATATCGCTTCTGAGTATCGCGGATGCAATTAAAGCGCCACTGCTACACTGGGCATGTTTACCCCGGGCGTGGCCAAGCGTTTAGTTAACCACAGAGTATCCGTGATAGGAGTTTACGCATATACTTCGTTTCAATGTTTAGACACTATGTACAATGCGTCCACATTATAAACAATACTTCTACAGTGCTGTAGACAAGGTGAATAATAACATAAGTGGGACGTCAATCGAGCTGTATAACGAATAATTAACAACACATCATATTTTTGCTTGTGAAAGTTTTCAAGTTTTTCAATAGCAAATCCGATTTACAAAGATGGAGATAGACTCTGGAGGTCAAAGTAATGATCCAAAGCGTCCATGACGATGAATGGACCCAGCCAGAAGTAGAGAACAGAAATTACCATGAAATCAAACGAATTAATGACACCAACTGTAGCAGTCGAAAAGGACAGAACCATCCAGCTCCTGACCCTGATCATCAAAAGCCAGGCACAGCAAATGAAGGAACTGACTGAGAGAGTTAGGGACCAAAACAGTAAAACAAACTGCCTGACCACCCAGGTAACGCAGTTAATCAATAATCCAAATTTTAATTCCAAATCTAACAAGGCTGTCAATTTAAAAAGACCCCTTGAAAATTTGACTGATAACGTGACATCGACTGACGATGCAATACAGAATGACGGATTCATCCAGGCCAAGTCTAGTAAAAGACGCAGCGACAAAACGAACAAAACTGAAAAGACGGATGACCTCCCACCTCTTCCAAAAGCAAAATCCAAATTCAAGTCGATAGTCCCCTCATAACCGTCTGCTTCATTAAACGTATCAACTTCTTCTGCCACTTGTCCTATGACAGTCGATGCAGTGACTACATCTTCTCAATCTTTGGCCATTGCATCGAATGACGGTGCATTATCTCAACAGTCTCATGTTGGTGGTGAGGTGAACAGCATAGCACCCCGCCAGGTGCGAATCACCACCATTGTTTTGCGTGATGTGGCCAGATAGAACGCGCAGTTGCCGTTAAAGCGTGAAATCAGGATTTTGCCGAAAACTGAGGATGACTACCGCAGGATCGTTCGCCTGTTCAGGGAGGAGGTCGTGCCCCATCATAAGTTCCCTCTTCCTTCAGAACGAAATATTCACGCGGTACTCAGAGTTATACATGCAATGTTTTCTGAACAGGAGATCAGAGGGGAATTAGAACAGAGGGGATATACTCCTCTCCACATTATCCGACTCAAACGCAGTGGAGGCGCACCCATGCCTTTGGTGGTCGTGATACTGGCCAAGATTGAAAAGTCCCAGCAAGTTGTTCAATGAACACGAGCTGCTGGGTCTACCAATCAGAGTTGAAGTTCAAAAGAACTCTAGACTTATTGGGCACTGTCACCGCTGCCAAAGGTATGGTCATGCGCAGTCTTAATGCACAGCACCTCCCAAATGTTTAAAATGTGCTTCCGACCACATGACACATTTGTGCCCCCTCACAGGACAGGAGGAGCGAAGGTGTGCGAACTGTATAGGGGTGCATCCCGCTAACAGTTCCACTTGCAGATTCACCCCCAGGAGAAATCTGGAAGTCATAGCGCAAAGACGCAGCAAGTCGTACGCGGAAGCAGCCATCTCAACATCTTCAGCTGCTCCCTCTGTTCAACCCACTTTGAACATGCAGAATGTACTCCTAGCAACTGCGCTTAGGTCCCTTCAACAAATAATTAGTCCCTTGATTAGCGCCACTCGGGCATTGCAGGCGATCTTTCCGCAGCCATTGGATGGCTAAGTACAGTAGACAACATGCATTTATCAAAATTCTTTTTTGGAATTATTTGGACCTAAGGGATATTCCCAAAAAAACGGGAGTTTCATCTAACTCTATTGGGTGAGAGTATAGACGTAGCAGGAAACATTACTTAAACCGGAAGATCGCTTAGCTTTCTCAAATTATGATGTTATACGCGCTGACAGATTGAATTGTAGGGGTGGTGGCTTGGCTGTGCTCGTTAAACGTGGTATCGACTATCACAGAAGCACAAACGCCGAGATACAAAGCATTAAAGATCACCTCGGTGTATGTCAGATGCGGTGCCAGGCTGCGAGAGGAGGACTGGAAGTCCTTCTTGTCTGTTCGGGCCCTCTTATTGCGGCAGGGGACTACAACGGCAAACACCGATCATGACACTCAAGGCTTAACTCTACTTGTGTAGTTCGGCTTTACAACCATGTGATGCGAAACAGGTACCTTACTCACAGCACCGAATAGCCGACACACCATCGTTTCAATCACCTTCAGGCACCGGATGTTATAGACTTCCCAATATCTAAAAACTCGTCCAAGGAAAAGAGTTGGTTGGGAACTATAGAAGTCATCTCTCAAAAAGTTTCCCGGTGTCCCGGTCATACATGATGAGAACGGAATAGATCCTTTCAATCGGAGTGGTCAAGTTTCGTTCACCAAACTCTACAGCGTGCTGCTGTGCTTCCAGTGCAGCGACACGGCAGACCTTTTCTCCCTTCTGACATTCGTCGGAAAATTTCTGAAAAGAGGGCAGCGATTAAGCAAGCAGAAAGGTCTTGTCATCCTGATGACATCCGTAGAGCGAAGAATCTCGTCCATGAAGTGAGAAATGTACTCCATGAATTCTGCAATGAGCAATGGAGCGACTTTCTGGCAGGGATGCTTGAATCAAGTACAGACAGACTGCAGAGTGCGGTGGAAGAAGTACTGGAGTGGGCGGATCGGTGGTTGATCAAAATTGATACATCGAAAACGCTGGCAATCTATTGTACTAAAGAACATCGCGGTGCTCCATCAGAGATATCAGTGAATGGAACTCGTATACCATGGGAGCAATCTGTCAGGTACCTTGGAGTCATCATTGACAGGGGGTTGACCTGGCAGAAACGTACGATATTTTGAAAACAAAATTCCAAATTACCTTTCGGCAGCTTTATCCTGTGCAGAAATTCAATATTAAGTTTGATCAAGAAGATTCGGTTGTATAAAATGGTCATAAGACTCGCAATTACCTACGTATGCACGGATTGGTGTTTTCTTGCCAAGGCGCACATGCAGAGAGTGAGACCGTTCACAGAGACCTTGATATCCCATATCTAAGGGATTATGTAAAACAACAGCCACACCGGCGTTATAATCAAGCCGAATCGCACAGCAACCCTCTGTTGCGTGATTCAGTACAGACACAGTCGAGCAAGTTCCATGCGGCAGGCGTATTATGTAAAAAACCTGAAAAACGCCAAAAGACGACAAAATCTCATCTTGCAGACTAGGTAGTTTTTAGTGTGCAAATAGTTGATTCCATGTTTGTTCGCTATAGCTGTTCGCTGACGTTTAAGCAACACGTACAGCTACAAAACGAGTTTACAAGTGTACGAGAGCTTGTGCTGAGTGAACTTCTTGTAGAAAAGCCTACGTTATACCACAAAAAAACTAAGAAATGTTTAAAAAAAGGACAAAATGTCACTTTTCCAGATACGTAATAAGGGGTATTATGTAAAAAGAATAAAAATTTCATCTTGCAGACTAGGTAGTGTGCAAATAGTTCATTTTACGCTCTCCAAGCAGATTGAAAAGAACTTTTCACACAGTAGCCTTCCACCAGTTACGTGTGAGGATGGAACGATTGTAACCAACTCAAACGCCAAGACGGAAGTGCTTGCCAATATCTTTGCTGCTAACTCCACCATGGACGTCCCCGTACCCCCCCCCCCCAACGCAACGCCCAAGTGCTGTGGTTCCCTACACTATGCGGGAAGTAACATTCTGGTATAAGGCCGTAAGATGGCTGCTCTTGTCGCTCGAATCAACAAAGCTTCTCAGAGCACTCTTCCATGATGCCACCGCGCGATGTGCCTGCCAGACAGAACCGCCTATCTCTGGCTTCCCATCCTAACTTTGTACATGCAGAACTGGCCGATACCACCGCTCCTTTGTCCCGAGGGTGTCGAGATTGTGGAACAATCTACAAGAGGAAGCTTTTCCCAGTTCTACTAACCTTAGGCAGTTCAAAAATCGGACTAACAAAATTTCTTTGGGATCCTCATAGCACCCGCGGTGTACCCAGCATTTAGGCTTCTGCCTGCGGGGCTGCTTCGGTATAAAAAAATCACGTTTGCTCGATATGATCGCTGTTCACTGACCTTTAAGCAACAAAACGAGCAAAACGAGTACACAACAAGTGTACAACAGCTTGTGCTTGGTTAACATCATGTAGGAAAATACACGTTATGTCACAAAAAACCTACGAAATGTCAAAAAACCGACTAAGCGTTCGTTTCAAGATACATAATACGATCACTAATGTTTTGACGTCTCACTTACAATTCGTCATTGTTCGTCAGAACGGTTCGGTGGACCTTTGCTCTTAGCTAAAAGTCTCGTCGGTCTGTTAGTCTGTCAGGTCTGGCTACCCAGATACCAAACATGCTTAAGGGGAAAAGGGAAAGAAATAGAGCAAAGAAAAAAAGTAAATCATTTGAAAAAGCTTACGCATTATTGCATTGACTACTCGAATAATTTTGTAACCCCAAAAAATAATTTTGGTCGGTTTTGTATACTGAAATAATTTTGGCTGGCATGAAATTCACAATTTAATTTTGATCACAGTGCGAGGCGCGGCCTGGAATATTTGGGAAATTGCACGACTGTGTAGTCTCCTGAATCACGATTCAGAGGGTTGCTGTGTGATTCGGCTTGATTATAACGCCAATGTGGCTGTTGCTTTACATAATCCCTTAGATATGGGAATGGTCTCATTTGACACGTACAAGGGGCGTTAGTGATTGTGCGTAGGGTTCTGTTTTGCAGGTCTTGCAGTCTCTGCATGCGCGTCATGGCAAGAAAAAACCAAGCCGCGCATGCGTAGGTGATTGCGGGTCTTATGACCATTTTATACAACCGAATCTTGTTGATCAGTGTGCGTTTGCTCACTATGGTAGTTGTCAGCGCCATCAAAAGGGTCCGTCTATGGAGGAATGACTCAACGACATGACATGCATTGTTGGTTGCTTGTTGGTGGCAGAAAGCCGAGTAGGTATTCTGTAGTATTTATCCCTGAGAAGATATGAAAGAAAGCAAGTTGGTTGAGTAGTAAGTTCGCATCTGGATGACTACATGTCTATTGGATTGCATGTGTCTAAAATCAGTGATATTTGCTATGTGAGTGCATTATTTCTAAACATGCTGCCATATGTCGATTAGCTGTGCCCGATGGGTTATTTATATATGGGTGAATACTCGTATACAAAAATTGGGTAACTTTTACACATATTTTGTCTTCGGTAGTTTTCAAGTCAAATGTCTACAAGTGCCGGTATTTAAGACAGATGATCTAATGAATATTTTGTTCCAAATAGGGAGAGTCACTTTTATGAGTAGATTTTGAGATATTTCCACTTCTCTGCAATTGACCGCCAGGGTACTGACGAAAGTAACATAGGACTGACAAAATACGCAGTTTCATAGAAAACTTATGGAATTTATTAAAACTTTGAACAAATATTTCACAAATATCTAATCTAATAACTGCACGTCTTATAGTTATAGTAACTGCTAGCAATAAGTAAATAGAGAATATCTGGTCACAAACGGAACAGTAATCAAAGACTTTTCACAACGATTTTTTATACCATTCAGCAAATATATTATACACTTGCTGCATGGTATTATATATTATAAGACACTCATTCGTTCTTTACAACTGCTTGTCGACTGTTAGAGCATCGTCTTATAAAAATTGCTAAAACCAAACGTTGCACTTTCATTATGTTCTCTCTTGCAAGCGTATGAGTCTTTTGTAAGTCACTACTCTGTTTTGTATTCTCCACACTTTGTGCATATTTGTCTATTACATTTCCAGATATAGTCTGTTTGAACTGTTTCTTTTTTCTTCATTTTTTCTTTTAGTTAGGTGATCTTGCACCGATCTGGTGATTTTTCTTTTAGTGTAGTATTCTTCTAATTGAATTTTAATAACTTTTTTTTAATTACAACTTCACTCATTTCAATTCTGTTTTTTTTTTGGCGATTTTTCAACAGATTTTATAATTTTCTTCAACTGCTTTTCAACTCGTCTATATTTTTGGGATGAGTATTTAGTTGAGTTCACAGTTTGTTTATTCACTTATTTCTAGACTTCCTCTGGCCTTCGCTACTCTTTTCTGCTTCCTTCGCTCTTTGCGTCTGCACTAACAATAGGTCCATTTTCTTTAGGAACTGGTTGTATTTCGTTCTCAGTATTTAGAGGAGTATTCTGATGTATAAGATTATGAGTTTGTTTGAACAGTTGCTT